CCCCCCCCCCCCCCCAACCTCCCCCCGCCATCGCAATTATAATTAATAAGCGGGGGAGGAATTAAGTTTTTTCAGTAACGCTTTTAAAACTTCCCGTGATAATTTTAGCACAGTAGCGTCGAGCACCTTGCGTTTCTTTTACTATTTTTTACACGTTTTATTAATCGTATGATTATACTTTCATGCCGGCTCTTTCAAATAAAGTACATACATTTAATTTATATATATATATATATATATATATATATATATAGATAATTTGAGGAGAGGCTGGATCAACCATTTCCCAATATCTCGTTTACTCATTATCACCAGTTCCTTGTCTAATATTTATTGTTACTTCTCAATTATCACTGCCTACCCTTCAAAGGGCACTTGTCTTTATTTTTATTTTTCTTTTTTTTTCCTTTTTTTCTTTTAGTCGATTGTTTCGCATCCCTGCGACTCCATTTCAGTCGCATCGTCCCATTAAAATATCAGTTAACTAATCCTTTATAGCATTTTAAAGCATACTGTGTATATTTACTATATCTGTAATTGTAACAGACATGCAAAAATTAACCCAAGGAGTATGAGTTATATATATATATATATATATATATATATATATATTAAAAAAAAAAAATATATATATATACTCCATAAGAAAAAATATAGTTAAGATATGTTTTATACGCTGCATGTTGATTGTAGATGAGTATGCGTTATCATCGTATAAAGCTCTCATACAGAATCTATAAATTCTTGTAAAATAAGTGATGTTCGATGCGTTTATATTTATGATGAAGAGGAACAGATTGAAAATATAATTTACCATAAGTCTTTAGTCTTATTTTTTGTTTATAATTTCAATGTTTTTTTTCCGTTGCTTATTATATATATATATATATATATATATAATTAAACCAATTTAATGATGGTCAGAAATTTTAACGTATTGTGGACCAGTCCATCGATAACCCTGTATAAAACTTCTTTCTTTTCATTGAGCCGCTGTTCAATAATTTTTTGAAAATTCTAATGTTAATAAATTACAGAAGTAGAAAAAAAAATATTCTGAACGAATATAATTGAAAAATGAAAGGAAATTGGAGAATGATGCAATTGATAAATGAATAAGAAGTTACTAGTTTGACGAATTTAATAATCCAGTTGAATGATATTGGTGTCTTCATAAAGTAGCGCGAACGGTTGTTATACTGTGAATTAGAGATCGAACGAGCAAGTGTTTGGCTGTGCAATAGATTAGAAGAAAAAAAAATGGTACAGACGCTATGAGAGACAAAATCGGCTTTGGTATTTTTTTCTGTGCCCCTTTGTTTAAAAATATATGTCTTCTAGAAGAATATTAATCCCACAAAGACTATCGAATTATATATACTGAATATGTATTTTGGATATAAATGAAGCTTAAACAATCGATTGATTTGTATGTAAGAAAAAATAATATTTCAACGATATTTTAGTGGAATAAACAATGGCTTGTATAAATAATTATAATGTGAAATTGAAAGGAATTTACCGAAAGGAGAAATTAACTTTCATTTAAAAATCGTTCTCTAATTGCTTGTAAAAGAAATATCTTTCTTCCTCTACGTTCGAGTATTATTCGTTTAAGCTACATTCATATCCCCATAATTGTTGTCTAAAATGTCAAGTACAAAAATAAGAAGAGAGGCGAATTAATAGGTACAATAAAAACTACAAGAATAGTGCAAAATAAAATGTGGCCTATTCCCAGGTCAACGAGTGTCGATCACGTAACTCTTCACAAGTGTAATCCAACGTACGGAAGCAAGATCAGAAAAAAATTCTTCAAGCCGATTAACATTTCACTGCTTCGGTAAGCTGCAGTCTACCATGTATATATTTTCATTAATGTATGTACAATAAAATATATTCGAGATAATATCGTATAATTTTTCATAATTCAGAAACAAAAAGCATAATTGCAATCCTTGTAAGGGCTGGTAATGCTCGAATTGTCAAATCCTTGGATAAATTTGTAACCACCTGCTCGAAGTTATATATCGATTGTGATTATCTTATTTAACAATCTACAACGATTTATCAATCGTTTAACAATTCCCTAAACAAATCCTACGAATTTTTGTTCTAATCGATAGAAAAATCTTGAAATCAAACGACAATATAGTGTTGTTTATACAAAAATTTTCCAACCATTCATTTACGGCATAATGTCAATAATACCGCACATGTATTACCACGAATTTACATTATCATGTCTTAATAGAATGTAAACGAATGAAACTTTATTATTTTCATTAATAATCGTTTAAGGTAAGTTTATATATATATATATATATATATATATATATATACGTCACGCACACACCCACACACACCCACACACACCCACACACCCACACACACACACACACACACACACATTATAATTATTAATAAATGACCAAGACAATCGACAATAATAATTTAATCTATATTTTTATATCAAATTATGATTATAATATCCATTTTACAATTCATCTCTTTCTCAATTTTCCTACAAATAAATTTTCCATATTGTATTGCAAATAACGATGGCTATAAATACATTTAGTTTCTGTCGCGTACGAGCCTATTGTTAAGATGCTTAGTCAGGGCAGTTGTATAAAATTGCATGACTAATACGTACTTTTTAAAATTATACTAATAAAACGCTACACAGTTATATTAAGTAACTTCTCAATGATCGTTATAAAAAAAAGTAGATCAATCACATAGTAAAGAGAAGTACTAAAAAAAAAATTGAATATGTGTTATAAATGTTGCTTGTACATTTTAAAATGGGATATGAAAAGGCCAGTGGGGAAACGTTAGACTATGCAATATATTCTAATTTTATACTTTTTAATCTGAAATTAGCAAATTTTGATATTATACTTTACTGTATTGTGCATTATTTAGCTTCGCATAAACATTATATCGCGAGCGTTAGATTTTATTTGACTGCAAATTTTACCTTTATGTAATACTCCATCGAGTATTGCAAATGTAGAATGCAAACAAGTACTGAAATATATTTTATACGACAGTGCAATTTAAAGCGACGTACTTTTTTTTTTTCTTCATTCATTTCAAAAACAAAACGTATTTAATTTAATTTTTGAAGCTTAAAATTTGACGTGTAATGACTATAATAAAACGTCGATGATAGAGCATTCGAAAATTACATGTCACGCTTACCTACGATTATGGTTATGAATTTATGAATATAACCATACAAAAGAATATATATATATATATATATATATATATATATATATTGAATAATTTATTAGATATTTATATATTTTATTGTAAAACTTTGAACAAAATATTCTAACTATGCATTCGTAAACAAAAAAAAAAAAAAAAAAGAAGAAAAAAAAGTAACGGGCCAATGACAACAATATTAAGATTTTTTTTTGTTTCTTTTGTTTCTTTTTTGTTTTTACGCAAATTCATAATGCAAAATACGTATACTTATACTATAAATACATAAATAAATGTACATTTGCCTTTATGACATATTGTTTATCGAATCGAATCGAATTTTCCCAATCTCCTTGCGAATTATTTTCAATTATTTTCGATTAATTCCAATTCATTTAATTCCAATTATTTTCAATGGCAGGAAATTAATAGAAATATGATGAATGTTAGGGGACGTTAGCCATGCGTACGTATCTCTACATAATTACATGGTTGTTGGATAAGACGCTACCTTATTAGCATTAATTTTCAACTATTTGTTTATATTTAGTAGACGTATAACCGTATCCAATGCGTAGATTATTCATAATATTTTTCAGCTTTGACTTTCGGGTCTCGAAATAGAAGAAAATAACTTTTTAATTCACACCTCGTCGTTTTACGATGCCTCTAATGCATTTAACGACAAAGTAAGCATTTAATGTTCGTTTTGTCAGTGAATTTTTCGTAAAACTTTGTTTTTGTTTTTTATTTTAATTTTTTAATTTTTTTTTTTAAATATACTCTTCCAATCGCTATCGCATGAAAAGAACACAACTATTTATTGTTCGTCCTTGATTTTGAAAATGCATTAATGAATTTTTTTGCAAGGAAAAGTACAATTTAATCCTAATTGTCTTATCTAATTTTGCTTATAAGATCTTGAAGCTCGTTAGCTGTTAATGCTGCATAAAGAAAACAATATTTTGAAATTTTATTCACGCACTTTTCATGTGTTTACCAAACAAAGTATTCAATAACAAAATTAACTTACAATAAAATTGTTACTACCATCTACGTTGTAATAGTAAAACTGAACCTGCTAATTTATGACCATACGACATATACGTCAAAATGAATCGACACTCTACATACAAACATAATGGATAAAAAGAGTAAAAATATGTTTTTAAAAACTCGTTGTTTTATTTGGTTAAGTATTGTCAAGCATTAATATGGCCGTCGTCCATTAACTTTACAATACCTGGTAATTAATAATAACTGATTTGCTGCCCAATGCGATTAACGATTGAGCAAAATATGGCCAAATACTGATTATGCCCCGACCAATGGTATATATGGGCCGCCTCCATATTAATAGATTAATGAAATTTATGTAGAAAATCATAAGCAACGGTGATACGATATTATTTCATTGCAATAAATTTAACTTTCCATTTTTAAATGATACTTTCGAGCCTCTATCGCGCGATCGTTACGAAGCACTTTTTCACTTACGGTCGTATCATCTATAGAACATAAATTACCGACAACAAGCGACGCGGAATAATTAATAAACGATCGAGTGAAGATTTTCGTTAAAAAAAAAAATACTTTATTACCACACGAGCGAGCAGGCGATACAGGTTAAATTAAATAGTAAATAAATTTTCAATATAGCACAGTCATATTAATAATATATGACTTCGTTATCATTTACAATTACAATAATAAAATTCTTTAGTCGTCCCCCCCCCCTCCCAATGCTATTCCAAGTCTAATTTGGAGCGCTAATATTTTTTAAAATAAAACACCTCAATACACACACGCATATCAAACAGTGTATTAAACTTGATGTTAAATTTATAGAGTATGTTTTCCAGTTTAATAGTACAATTCGCGTGTTCATATGAATTCATAACTTTTAATTAAAGAAACTGAGAAAAGTAAATTACGTTCGAAAGGCTATGATCGCATATATATATGTATATATATATATATATATATATATATACACATATCGTATTGCAAATAAACGAGAAAAAAAAATATATAACATTCAGCGTCGTTTGTTTTAGCGCTCGATTGGCATCACTAATTACTGGCACTGTAGATTTGATTTTACAAGTTAAAAGCTTCAAAATGCAATTTCACGGCTCAAGAAAAATAATGAGTACAGCGTAGTAGACTAGTAATCGTCACTCCTGCCGAAAGTTATTCTCAAGCGAAAAATGAATATTCCGTTTCTAATGAATTCCGAGCATTTATTCATTTATCTATTTATATGTATTGGACTTGTAAGGAGGCTCAGTACGGGTAGAGTGAAATCTAGGAATACAATTATTCTATCGAGTGCTCGATAATGTGAATTAATTCCTACTAACTAATGGCTTGCAATTCGTTTATCAGGATGTTTGCGCGATGACATCGTCGAGCGCTTTTATTACACGTCCGAGAGCAGTGCGGAGCAGCCGATGCACTACGAGACCGACGTGCAAGTGGAATTACTAATAATCGGGCGCAAGGTCTCGTGGATGGAGGCAAGGATGCTCTGCCCGTTGTACAGCGACCAGTCTTCGAAAGCTTCGTCCATCGACCTCGAGGCCCTACTCGCGAATCCAGCAAGGATGAAATACTTGGCGAAAAGACGCGGCAAAACGCGCAACAACACCCTGGCTGTTATAACCGACGAGGACCAAGCGAACTGGCTCGCGCGAATGCTATCCGAATCCAATTATCGTACGTCATTTATTCATTAATTGTTTTGTTAATTAAGGAGGGATGCGCATTTATTGAGTGGCATCGCGGCTAAGCCTTAGGCCCCTAAATCTCTCTCTCTCTCTCTCTCTCTCTCTCTCTCTCTCTCTCTCTTTCAATCGCTTTTCAATCGTTTCGGATCTTAAGGTTACGACGGTCTCTGGATTGGCGGTTATCGGAAAAACAAGACCAACGGCTGGAGCTGGATAAGCGATGGCAAATCGAAGGCCAGCCGAGTCCCGAAGAAGATCCTCTTCGAAAGCTATCCGTCGTGGTACCACGTGTCCTCCAAGATCAGCTCGCAGCAGAATTGCTTACTCTTCAATAGGATCGGCCACGACATACCCGTTTTCATACCGGAAAATTGCCAGCTGCGCCGGCCCTTCATTTGCCTGCGAGACGGTAAAGCAATAACATAATTTATTTTATTTACTCGATATGCCCGCGGCCCTATTTCAATATATATATATATATATATATATATATATATATATAATTAAATCTCATCACACAGCTGCTTTCTCTTCTGTTAAATAGTCGTTTGTGGTGTCGCTGATGCTACTGTGACTGCCACTGCCAATCTGATTAAATTCTAAATACCGATTATACTCGAAAGAAAGTAATCGATCGATCGATCTATCATCAAAGACTCTATCGATCAACGTGATTATCTTATTTTACCGGTGAACCCAATGAACATTGAAACTTTTATTATATTCCTATCCGAATGCGAAGTCGAGCGGTCCTTTGACCAATCCGAGACATTACTGCCAATATTCATAGAGATCCAAGATTTCTAAGATAAAAATGAAGGACTGTAAATTAGGATCGCGAATGGGATGTCAAAAGCACTGTAAAGTAATAATAACAAACGCATCGATGCAATCGACGCCCATCCCCATGACATTACAAACGACAATCCAATAATGGACGTTGTAATGATCTTTCGCGGGCACTTTCAGACGCAACGTACGATCAATCGCTAATACGGCAATGTTTATTTTCATCATTTTTCAGTGAAGCGCAAATTGGCGGACAAAATTTCAGAAAGCTCGAGTATCACCGTCGATGGCTATCGTTACACCCTGTACAGCGTTGTGGACGATAATGAGGTTCATTATGTCAATACGGGCACGCAAAGGCTCAATGGCGGCGGTATCACGTGGAAGGATGCTAATATCGAATGCAAAAGGCGAGGAAAGGAGTTGGCGATGATTTTCTCCAACGATGCCGCAACTGCGATCGCGGACATGATGCTCAAAAATCGACCATGTATGCCAACTACCAAAAATATTCGCCCACGCAACCGATAGCCGAGTATTCGAGCATTTTTGTATCTCGTTCCAAAGAAAATTAAACGCAATCCCCCAAATACGGCAGATATCGACGATAATTAATCTCGTGCTTTTGCCGGTTTTCATATCTATTTTCATGACTATCGCTAACCATCGGCTCGATAGATTGTTGTTTTTCTTTTCTTTGTTTGTTTGTTTGTTTGTTTGTTTGTTTTTTGTTTTTGTTTTGTTTTTTTGTTTTTGTTTTGTTTATATATATAGAAGACGGACCTTACGTGAAATTATTGATTATTTATAATTCAACGTTAAAATTGATTTTCATTAAAAGTTAAATCGAGTATTGGAGATAATCGTCTAATGAGTGATTTGTTGTTGTTTTCTTTTTCCTTTAAATTCAATAAGTGTTTAATTTGATAAGTGACGGTTTATTATATTGACTGTAACTCGGCAGATTTAAAATTTTTTTTTTTTTTTTTTTTTTTTTTTTTTTTTTTATCCATTATATCTGTTGTAGAATCTTCATTCTCGCGTCGGTTATCGCCACTACGTAATTGCAATAAAAATGTAGTGAATTTTTGCAAAATACTTAATAGAGACCTTTAATTTCATCAATTATTTCGATGAACCGAATAATGACTAAGTTAACCAAGTGACGCTGCCTGCGCCTGAATCAGATGGTTAATCAGTCAACCGAAGAGCATCAATTATCTATTCGTTTTTTGTAATTGCAAGTAGCGGATATTATTTGGTATAAAAGAACGTCGACAATACGTTTAAAGATTTTAGCGTAGAAAGATAATGAATGAATTGCAATTTTCCTCGAATAATTCTGCAGAGTTATTTAAAAATATTGCATTATAATAATTATGCTGCAAATAATAAAATTCTATGCAGCGCTGAAACAAGCACGGCAAGAAAAAAAAAAAAAAACTTATGCTACTAAAATTTTATCAAAATATATTTATTGTATCGATTAATTTCAGTCTTCTTATCATTATGAAACGAATCAAAAATTGTTTATGTGATTTCCATACGCTGAAAACAAAATCTCTACTGACGAATTGTCATGGCAATCAGAAACCCGCTCGAATGAGAAAATTTTCACATTCGAAATGATAATTTTTATTAAAAGCCCAAAACTCGTGTAATCATAATAGATTTCCAAAATGGGGACTTAAATGCAAATCCATGAAAGTTAATTGACACTCTGATTTGAAATAGGACAATGATTAATTGAAAGTCTGAATAATAAGAGGCTGCGCGTTGACGTAACTGGATATATTGCTTAGATAACAACAATAATAAAAACTAAAACTTTTTTAAATGTAAGAAAGTATGCTCCGTTATATTTTATAGACTTACAATCCATTATTGAAAATGTATTGATTTCCTGCGCGACTAAATCACAATAGTTACTCGAAAATCATTCGTAAGCAGCGAGATAAAAAGAAATTCTTTTCATTAAATTATCTAACGAGCCGAGATAAATTATTTAATAATACATTAATACGGAATCCTTTCATCGTGCTTATTAAAACTCTGCTTTATCGATAAATCGTAATTTGTTTATGCAAATTTCTCGATAACCTTCCGGATACCCTTAACGCATTAATCGTACTGCACATTATATCCAGTAATTTCGAACGCGTAATTTCGTAATACTTGCTACGTAAGTGCTGATTTTTTCCAATTCAATTACATCATGTCGCTCATTACTAAAACGAATAACTTTGCTTTTACCCGATAAATTTAAAGAGAAAAAAAAGAAATTTTTGTTCTCGTTTTTTTTTTCTTTTTTCTTTTTTTTTCGCCTTAAACTACGTTCATTCTTGATCCTATTGGTTTTCTAGATTATGTAATCACATATTTTCACACAATTTGTCCATGTTCCATTTTTATTACTATATTACGTATTTATTACTTTTTCGTGTATAATCATTTTTCTTCAATAAAGTTTGCAGTTATTATTTATCATTATTTCGTTTCAATCAATTTTATGGCAGATTTATGAGTAATATATTTATGCAGCAGTTACTATAATCATCGGGACACGCTGATCTTATTAAATTATAGTTTTATCTGCATCATCTGTTTAATAGTCACATTCAATTATTAGTCCTCGTGTAATCGACCATAATCGTACGAAAAATTGGAAAATAATTTCAAAATAATCAAATCGGTATTTATAAATCAGGCAGGCTTGATTAATAAATGCAAATAAGCCTCGTATAAATGCTAATATTAATGCATTAGAAGCGAAGGATTTCGACAATATTATATATTTAGCTTAACGACAGCGCACACTAATATTTACAAAAAATTTGCGAAAATATTGATTGTGAAGAAAAAAAGCGTATGTTTTACTTGAAGAAAATCCTGAACGCGAGAAGGTATGGAAGATTTAACTGTACTTTTCCCAAAATTCCAAAACTCTTCGACTTAATTAAATTATTAAGCGAGAAAAAATTTTGCAAAAAAAAAAAAAAAAAAAAAACCTTTGCTTAATAACTGAAATATAACATTACTATTATTTTGAAATAGCAATGGAGAATGTATGGTTGGGCGGTTGGAGCTTAGATGGCGGGGATTGGATTTGGGTACCAACAGGCTCGAGCTTATCAAAGGTGAAATCAAGATCGAGTCAATATCCACCATGGCTCGAGGGTCATCCAATAGTCAATTCGCAGTCAGTTCATTATCAGAGATCGAGTCGTTGTCTGATTCTGGATCGGCATCTCTGTCCCGAACAAGTCGCCCCAGTTTTTCTTGATCTCGATTGCGAGAAGGAGAGGCCCTTCGTATGCCAAGATGGCAAAATCAAGGACTGCCCAATGTGCGACATAGGTCAGGCGATATTGCGCATGTCCCCCTTTTCATTTTGTATTTCAATTTTGAGCAATTTGAGCAATTTGAGCAATTTGAGCAATTTGAGCAATTTTACAATGCAAATGCTTACTTAATACGCTGTGTCTGGTATTTGAAAATTGCTCACTTTAACGTAATATTCCAAGGAAATGAAATTCTCATGCCAGACATTTATATACACAGATAAACTAGATTTTTTATAACAATATAATTTATGCCAATAGCAGGATTTCAATTTAAAAATAATGATAATTACAATAAAATTATTCGTCACTAGTATTTGAAAATTCTAATATTTTATTCGTAATGAATAATTTAATATTTTAATAAAAATAGTTTTGATTTTACGTAAAATTTTAATATAAAATGTGTATAAAAGTGTATATTTACATTCTAGCTCACTTTTTTTTTTCTTTTTTTTTTTAATGTATTCGAAAAATCTTCATCTGCCTCATAGCAAATTAAAGCGAAAAAGTTGTTCGTTATATTTTTGGATTTAATAAAATTTGTTTGTTCTCTCGTTTTTTGTGGCATACGAACCTAAAATTAGTAAGTTTTTTCATAGAGTTACAGATAATAATTTTTCGAAAAATTAATAAAATTAAGGGATCCGTAGAGCCGACAATATTCTTAAAATCATTCTAATCAATTTAAAGGAAAATCTATTGAGTGCATATCATCGTATAAAGTCATAAATTTAAAAAAAAAAATCTTTTCAAAAGTAAAATTTTTGTCTTTTAGGAGGTCAAAGAAGTGTTGAATGGCACAGTTTTCATTAATACTTTTTCCCCTTCTTTTTCTTATTATAATAAAACTATTGCTTAAACTATGATATTTATATTGGAAATTAATTAACTTGACAATGTTGAAGTGATAATGTTAAAAGTATTTAAAATAACTTACAAAATTGATGCGACTCATCGAATTATTATTTATTAATCTTCGTTGGCATTTATTCTCTACATACATAATTCCCATAGTTATTTATTCTAAAATTAAATGTAATTTTATTAATATTGATTTTCATCTAAGTGCTATTAAAAAAATTAATATTGCTCTTATCACAAAGAAAATTTTAATCTGAATAACACATCATTGTTCAATAGCTACCTTAATGAGTTTTGTATATTTCATTGCGCCTATAAAATATTTTACTTACATATTTTTATGTTTATTATTAAGTGGATATTACATAACATAGAGTAATTAAGGATAACAGTAACTAAAAGTATTATTTGCAGTTTTGATTAAAATATTTTAATTTCAATAACAGCGTAAAAAGAAAAATATATATATATATATATATATATATATATATAAGTATGTATATATTATTTATCGAGTGGTATGTAAATGGATTTTAAAACTGATTCTCATTATAGATTTTAATAATGCACAACACGAACAAATGTCAAGAAATTCTGGAAGAAGAAGTGCAATTAATAACGAAGAATTTGAATTTTCCGAAGAGGACATGACATACGAGGATGCCGAAAATTACTGCACTAATCGGGACGGTCAAATAGCTAATATTCTGAATTCTAAAATATTGTCAACCTGTCTGGAAAAAATGTCCGAACTAGGTACGTCCGTGGTATTCAATCACTGTCCTTTATTGCAATTCCTACCATCTCGACGTAAATTATATTATTTAATCGATGCACTCAAGCATATTCGAGTAATAATTGAAGAAACTCTTACCACTGAATGAGAAATAGTCTTTCTGAGATTACTATATATATATATATATATATATAAATATATATATATATATTATCGATAATTATAGGTTTGCTACAACAAATAAAAGAAATTATAAGAAAGCACGAAATGCTTTGGTTTTAATTAAGATTTAATTCTAGACGTGTTGCTGATAATACATAAGAATTACATGAATTATTTAATTTAATTTTTTTCTTTTTTAATTTTGCATATTTATATATATATATATATAATTTACCTACAATTTTTAATGAAAATATATTTAATAATAAAAAGTTAGTTAAATGATAACAATGTTAACAATTTCTTTATAATTTAAGCAAAATGGTGACATCCAAAATAAATGTATTGGTTAAAAAAATTAAAATAAAAAAAAAATCCACTCGTACCTTTCTCGCTAAACGAGAAAATATTCTCTTCAGTGAAATATTTTTCTTAGACATTTGAAGTTTCGTATTATCACGAAGACATTCCGAGCTTCATATATTCAATTAGAATTTTTTTAATGAATACACCCGAAAGTGCTCGTATATTTCGAAATTTCGAAATTTTTTTTTCAAGAGATATATACTTTTTATAGAGCCTGAAAGATAAGTATTGCCTTTTTCGAAAACTATAAGTTAAAATAATTTTTTTAATCGTTGTTTACATTTTTCCCATAATTTGCCATAATTTAACAAATGGCGAAGAATAATACGAAGTTTAATCTTAATGATCAATGGGCTTCCAGAGGATCTTTAACGTTGGCCTCCAGCATTATTAACGAAAGACTAACAAAATTGCGATAACCGAATTAGGATCATTTGGAATGAAGAAAAATTGTTTAATAAAGCCATCGATTTTTCAGCTATAAGCCATGTATGGGTCGGTGGACGGACGGTGAAGATGGACAACGAGTGGTACTGGGTGGATAGTAACGGGAATGAACTGTCGGCAAAAGAAATCGGTGTCGGAGGAGACACGTGGTGCTTCGGCGATCAGAACGGCCATTTGCCCAAGGCCGAGCCCAACAGCTGTCTCAACCTCGACTACGAATCCCGTGGCTATCCCCTCTTCTACGGTCTGCCCTGCAACTCCTCCCAGATCGTTCTCTGCAGAATGCCCTTCAACAGGAGCCAGAATCAAGTGACGGAAGTACGGCCCGACGAGGTCGACACGCGGATAATCGGCAGCTTACACGACCCGGTCAACAAATACGCCAACAAAGCTCTAAACACCATCAAGGAAATATCCCTCATTGGTACCGACACTGTCTCCAACATCATAAAGCCGAATAACGAGAGGAAGAAGAAAGGCAAGAGCCCGGAGGCCGATTCGAGCGCGACGACGCACCCGGCCAACCCGGAACCGACCAAGGAAACGAACAAAAATCACAAGGACAATAACGAGGCCGATGGAAAGCCGAGGGAGACACAAACCGAGACGACCGCCGCATCTGGGGCCACTACCGACACCGCGAATCCGATGTCGGTTACCACCGAGTCCGGGGACACGACGGTCGCCCCGACGGCAGCTCCCGAGGCCGTAACCACGATGAAGTCCGCCGAGACCGAGGCTGCGGTGTCGACGACCACCGAGTCGAGCAGCAAGTAGTCCGGGCCTCGATGACTCGGCAGGCCGTTTAGACGCTTACGGGATTGGGACGCTAAGCTTCCACGGCCTCCTCTTTAATCCTTAATTCAAGGAATAGGAACAGCTTTGTAATCGTTATGGCTAGAGATTGCCATTTCTCCTGTCTTTTTAATGCTCTGGACGTAGCGGCCAAGTGTTGCTATAGAACGAACCGATGTTCCCGAGCCGCGTCAATGATTATTCTCTCGTGCTTTAGTACAATCTCTCGACCTGTAATCTTTTAACTGAACAGCCACGTTACCAAAGTCAAGCGTCACAATGTCCAAAGCTTTTCAATCACAATGCGAGAAAATTGGCAAAATTCTAGTTACGCAAGCACCGCTATATACCTTAACAGCTTATTCATAATAATAATAATAATAATAATGATAATAATGATAATAATGATAATGATAATAATAATAATGATAATGATGATAATAATAATTATAATAATAAATTGTACATATATTGCTAATTGGGAACGGATGGATAATATACTTATTATATTTAAAATGCATGATTAATTATTTCGACTTTTGTACTTCAGTTATCGATAATACTCGGGAAATTTGCAAATATCGAATGCAAAAGACTTCATTCTTCTTCCAATTAATTGTGTCTGCGTGCGCGCATTTGCGTATACGGACTCGCACGCACGAAAACACGCACACGATTATTTCGCTCTCGCATACTTATTACTTACTATAGTTCATCTAATTGTTATTCTCTTGTAGTTAATATAAAAGAAAAGAAAAAAAAGAAGAAAAGGTATTGTCCATCTTCAATTTAAAATTAACGCAACATCGACTGAGGCATAATGTGCAAAAAATTAAATCTAATATATAAACGTATGATGTATATACAATGATAAACGTGCAGAAATATTAAAAGAAAGATTAATAAAAATAATAGATATATCATTCATCTAAGCAATTATAAAGATATATAATAATATATTTGTTGAAGTTATCAAACATTCTTTTAGATAATGGAAATTGTTTATTTAAACCCTGACAACCCTCTCCTACCCCCCCCCCCCCCCCCCCCTTTCACGAAATCCTAAGTAAATTATAAGTAATATATAGTGCTTACATTTAAATAAAAAATTTCTTTCTATTTACATATCATTCAATTGTATAACCATTTTATGATCAATTTCTGTTTCGGAATTATTCTTTCTATATCTAATCTTGACAGGATTTTTAATTATTTTCTACACTTCATTACCTGAACTATTACTTCGAAATATTAAATAATATATACCAAATGATATAGATAATGATATTGAAAATGATTTTACCTAGAATGGCATCTATATGAAATACTACGTATATTAATAAAATCAAAAAAAATTTAAAGGAAACGATGAGTTACACACACACAGAGAGAGAGAGAGAGAGAGAGAGAGAGAGTTAGAGACAGGTAAAACAATAATTTAATATACGTATTAAATATTGCGTATTATTAAATAAAAATTTTTAATCAACATCATTCGTTTATCAATTTATGACTTTTGGTGTTTTTGAAATAATATTAAATTAAACAAATGATAATTTTAATAAACGCATGTGTTATTCAATTTTTAAATATTATCACGTAATAACATAAAAGTTATTGTTTTAAGTAATATCAACTCCGTGCAGCTATCTTTTTTAAAATAGAGTTAAGCTTTAAAGCGTTTACTGGTCGAGATAACAAATACAAAACACGGTCAGTTGAAAAAGGATTGATT